AATATTGCTTCTTCCAATCCAAGAACATGCTATATCTCTCCATCTGTTTGTATCATCTTTAATTTCTTTCATCATTGTCTTATAGTTTTCTGCATACAGGTCTTGTGTCTCCCTAGGTAGGTTTTTGTTGTTGTTGTTGTTGTTGAATAGATTTATTTATTTATTTATTTTTGGCTGCGTTGGGTCTTCGTTGCTGCCTGCGGGCTTTCTCTAGTTGCAGCGAGCGGGGGCTGCTCTTCGTTGCGGTGCACGGGCTTCTCATTGCAGTGGCCTCTCTTGGTGTGGAGCACGGGCACGGGCTTTAGTAGTTGTGGTGCGTGGGCTCAGTAGTTGTGGCTCATGGGCTCTAGAGCGCAGGCTAAGCAGTTGTGGCACACGGGCCTAGTTGCTCCGCAGCATGTGGGATCCTCCTGGACCAGGGCTCCTGCATTGGCAGGCGGATTCTTAACCACCGCGCCACCAGGGAAGCCCCCTAGGTAGGTTTATTCCTAGGTATTTTATTCTTTTTGTTGCAGTGGTAAATGGGAGTGTTTCTTTCATTTCTCTTTCAGATTTTTCACCGTTAGTGTATATGAATGCAAGAGATTTCTGTGCATTTATTTTGTATCCTGCTACTTTACCAAATTCATTGATTAGCTCTAGTTTACCAAGTCCATGAAGGTGTGCCCTATATCCTGGGATTTACCTCTGCTAGTTCATAGGAGGGAGAGTTGAGTTTAGGCTACAGTGATCAGACTGTAAGTTGAACTGGATCCACCAACACCCTCGTTGGTGTGATTTAAATGTCAGGTTAGCAGCTTAATCTGGTGGCAGCATGCAGGATCAAATGAGAGGGCCACAGGGTCTGTCAAAGAGTGGGGTAAGTATGGAGGATTGGGAGCTGTCTCAGATCCAGTGATTTTGAATAAGCTACACTTGTTCAGGGGGCAGCGGGAGATATAGGACCCAAGTCAGGAGAAGGATCAGGGACAAACTGATGAATCTGGAAGTCACTTTTCTTGTCCCTACATGGTCAAGCCATGACTGTCATGGCACTATGGAAAAATTATTTCAGGTCTCAGTACAATGAGGGTCTTTTACTTTGATATGTCATCTTTCCATAAATTATTGTTTTTTATGTGTGCAGAGAGCATGTCCTAGGGGTCATTAACTTACTGAGCTCACTGGGCAGGATGTGGGTCTCATGCCACCAGGGTTTTATTGTTTTGGGGCATGTCTCATGCTTCTGTTGCATGGTTTGTTGCTAAGGAGGCCTGCTTGGTTTTGTGGTTAAGCAAACTTGTTTTCTTGAGTTATCATTAACTTACAGGGGTCTCCCATACTTTTTTCTTTACTTGCAATCCCGTAGTGGGATTAACTATTTAATTACCTAATTTGTCCCTTTACTCTGTCCCTATCACAATCGTGTATGTATATAGTGTGAGAGTTTAAAAAATGTGCCAAAAAACAGTACAAAGCTGTTAAGTGTTTGAGTTACAAAACTAAGAAACGAGAGCATGGCAATGAGCCTCAGCTTCCACATCTGTAAAACAGGGTTTTTGTGAGGATGGACGAGATCATGTAAAGTACCTTAACAGGTGCTCAATAAATTTTTCCGATCATTATTATTGTCATCGTAACTAGCCAGAATACAGAAGTTAAAAACTTATCCCTCCCCGACTTCCCTGGTGGTCCAGTGGTTAAGCCTTAGTGCTTCCAATGCAAGGGTCATGGGTTCGATCCCTGGTCGGGGAGATTCCACATAGCGATCGGCTTGCGCCCTGCCCCCCCCAAAAATATATGCCTCCCACCCTGCTAAGAATTAAATAAATGAATTCATTCAGAAAAGATAAAAGTGAAAGAAAGCCAAGGGAGGAGGGGGAGGGAAACCGAGTCCTGGACAGGTAAGATGCTTCTCAGTCCGTTTCCCCGCATGCAAGCTCTCTGTCAGAGCTCAAGCTGGCTGCACGGATCTGACTGTATTTTCACAAAAGTTAAAAGACCCCGGCGGGCAGGAGGGGGCGGGGGCGTTCTCATGCTTCGTCTCTTCCTGCGGCGCACGCGGATGACGTAATGGGCGCGCCAGGATTCCGGGAGCTCAGGGACTGCAAGAACGGCTGCCACGTGCGTATGGTTACCGCGCGCAAACACGGATACCCCTATATGCTTCACCCCGTAGCCACCCACCCAAAGCCTGATCCAAGCCGCTGGAGGATCCCCACCAGGGCGAGCTGCGCCCACCGGGCGCCTGGGTGCCCGCGTTAGTGCAGGTGTCCCTTCGCGTTTGTTGGACGCCTGGCAGGGGAGACCCCACGTAAACTCATCCCCTCTATGACCATTCATTCAACCAAGAAAAAATCCGTTGACAGCCTGTTTTATGTCAAGTACCATGCTGGTCTTTGCGGGGGACAGTCCTGATGTAGACGATCCTGTCTTTGTGCTCTTGGAGCTCGTTTCACTGGAAATGATAGACGAAAATCAACTGGTATAATAAAATGATTTCGGGTTGTGATAATTCCTGTGAAGAAATTATGGTATGGAGGACAACTGAGGCGCCTAACTTTAAAAAGGGTCATAAGGGGAATTCCCTGGCAGTCTAGTGGTTAGGACTCAGCGCTCTCACTACCGAGGGCCGGGTTCAATCCCTGGTCCGGGAACTAGGATCCCACAAGCCACGAAGTGCGGCCAAAGGAAAAAATAAATAAATAAAAATAATAATAAAGGAGGTCATAAGCGTTGGGTGGGGGCGCTGAGAAACGGAGGAATCAAGATCTGGCAGGAACACCGGTTGCCGAAATGAGACCTGGCCTGGAACTTGTCAGTCTACAAGTTTGAGATTTTTTGGTTTTTAAGCCCCAGGTATTGTTCTAAGCCTTGGTAAACCGATGGAGGTAAAATAGCTACAGTTCATGCCCTCATTGAGATTTTGTTCTAGTGGGGAAGGCAGAGCTAAAAATAAAATGTCAGATAGTGATTAAATACTATATAGGAGATTAATATAAGACCATCTCATAATGGCTACTTCAGAGCAGTTGGTCAAGGAAGGCCTTTTCAAGGAGGTGAATTTTACCTGAAATTTAAATAACAAGAAAGCTAGCCATGCAAATAGCAGGGTGAGAAAAATGCCTTTCGGAACTGAGCTTGGCAAATTAGAAAACGGTAATAGAAAAGAAACCAGTGTGATTGGTGCACTGTAGGCGAGGAGAGTGGTGTGAGGCAGGGTTGGGGAGGTAGGCAATGGCCAGACAACATAAAGCAGGGTACTGAGTTGGAATGTTATACCGTGTGTGATGAGAAGCCATGATCTCATTCATGCTAACTTGTGGCGAGTGGATTGTGGTTGGGCCAGCGTTAGGATCAGGGGTCCTGATCAGGAGGGCTACTGGTGCATTAGTCCAAGTGAGTCCTGGTACTGACTTGAACTGGAGTGATGGTAGCAGAGAGGAAAGGACGTGGACAGATTTGGGATATGTTTGGAAATGGATTCGCTGGCAGATTGGGTATAGAGAGGGCTCAGGGAAAGAAAAATTAAGATCGACTCCTGTGTTTTTGACTTGAGCAACAGATTGGATGATGGTGGTGTTAACTGAGATGGGGGAAATGGGGGGAACCACAGGTCTGGAGAAATGATAAATCAAAATTTCTGTTTGTGCCAGAACAGGCTGTCTGTGTTTATGAGACATCTATATGGCAATGTCACCTAAGCATTTGAATGTACTAGTTTGGAGTTTCAGGGAGAGTCAGAGTTGGATAAAGTTATGCAGTCTGTTGGCAGATAGTAACTCGAATCATGTGAAATTGCCATTTTGAGTCAAAAATGGCTGAATGCTGGCAGTTTCATTGGTTCAGTCTAATAGATTGTATTTAAAGCCACAGGTCTGGATGAAGTCTCTTAGGAAGAACATTTAGAGGGAAGAGAAGAAAGGGCACAGTCTTGGGCACCCACCATTTAGAGGTGGAGCAGAAGAGTAGGAGCCAGCACAGGTGACCGAGAAGGAGCAACCAGAAGGGAGAGGAATATCAGGAGAGTGGTGTCAAGAAGCCAAGAGAGGAGGGTGTTTCAACAAGTAGAGAATGAATAAGTCAAATGCTGCTGAGAGGTCGAATAAGGTAAGAAGTTAAGTGACCTCTAGATTGGCAACGTTGCAGTCTTTGGTGACAGAATAGTCAAAGTCAGCCTTGAGTAAGTTAGATTTGAGATGCCTATGAGTTGTCCAAGTAAAGAAGCGAGGCAATGAGCTTCCTTTCCTCCCACTTCCTTGGGAAGAGGGCGTGTACACCTGGGAGACCTGTGTGTCTGTGGGTGTGTGTGTGAGAGAGAGAGAGAGAGAGAGAAGGAGAGAGAGAGAGAGAGGGAGAGAGGGAGGGAGAGAGAGAGATCAGAGCTGAATGAATGGTGCGGATCAGAAGCCCTCAGCTCTGCTAGGAGGGAGGTGTCCCTGAGCACTGGAGCAGTAAAGAAGGCCTCCCAGAGTTGGTGAGACCTGCACTCACCTTGGCACATGGGAAAGCTTTGGACAAGATAGGCGTAGGCACAGGCATTCTAGGATGGGGCAAAGGAATGGCGTGGAGCCTAGGCAGCGTTTAGTGGGTAAAGCCAGGGTCCTATCGAGAAGCAGTGGGATCAGAAGTTGAAAAGTAGTTGGGGAATAGATGTGGAGAGCCTTTGACTGTCAGGCTAAAGGCTTTGGATTTACCTTGAGCAGGGAAATAATATTTTGAAGCAGTGAAATAGAGGAACTATCATTTGACTTCACTGGCCAGCCCCGTCCAGCTCATCCTTCAGGTTCACACTTAGATGCCATTTCCCTTAGGAAGTCTTTCCCACTCCTAGAGTACTAGGTTGGTACCCACAGTCCTGTGGCCTTGACCACACTGGACAGGAAATGTCTGGATACATTTATGCCTCAGTGCCCCCACTGCTTTCCCCCACCACATCCCTAATGCTTCCGAAGCCTCACCTATCCTTGAAACTTGAAATCAGTTCAACAGATAGGCTCTAGTGAATGTTATTTTTTCTAACTCATCTCGCCAGCAAAGGACACCTACAGAGATGTCCTCAGTCCTTCACTTCTATGTCCGTCCCTCTGGCCACGAGAGGGCAACCTCTGAATATACTCAAAGGAAGCTGCAAGGGGAACTGCCAGAGCTGCAGGGTGTCAAGACCGAGCTGTGCTACAACGTGAACTGGACAGGTTGGGCCACTTACTGGATTCTTTGGGAGAGGTGCCAAGTGCCAGGGGCAGTGTCTCAAGGTGTCCTTGCCCTGTCTCCCCGCAGGTGAGTCCTCCCCGAGCGCCGAGGAGATGAAGAAGCTGACATGGCTGTTTGGCTGCCCCTTGTTACTGGACGATGTCGCTCAGGAGTCCTGGCTCCTCCCCGGCCCCACTGACCTGCTGCTGGAGGTCGGGCCCAGGCACGTGTCTCAGCCTCGGGTAGCGCGTTCCACGGTCCAGAGCCCGTCAGCCTTTCCAGACACACTGCCACCCCTTCCACTTTCATTCCTCTTCCTCCTCCTGTGGTCCTTGGGAGACTTGTTTTCCCTTCATCCTACTCCCCACCTAGAAAGCTGTGCACATGCTTTCCCCATGTGGGAAGATACCTTTGAAGACTGAGCCAGCTGCCAGGCATGTTCTCAAAATATAACACGTTGTATCCTGAGAAGTTGAAATTGAAGCATTTTGTTGCTACAGGAACAGTTACGGTTTGATTTGAATGACCTTTGAAAGCAGGTTTCTTGGTGCCCAGGTCTGAGGCTGGAGGCCAGTGGTGTGGGCAGGTGCGGGGGGGGTGGTGGTAAGTAGAGGTGGGAGATTGCCTGGACAGCAGTGGGCAGGATCCACCTTCTCAGCTGGGGCTCTAACCATCTGGTCCTAACCAATCCACAGGCTGAACTTCTCCACGCCAACATCCAGCAACATCGTGTCAGTGTGCCAGGCTGCGGGGCTGGGGGCCGTGGACCGCGTGGAGCCGACCCAGCGCTACCTGCTCTCGGTGAGCTCATAGGCAGCCAGGTGGGCATCAGGAGGAGGAAGCGGAAGAGATTTTGGGTCCTAAACTCTAAGGAAACGCTGAGAAGCAGGGGGAGGAGTTCCTGCTTTGACGCCTGCCCTGTTTGCAGGTTGTTCACTGCCTGAGGCCACCTGGTCAAGGAGTGAATAGGACAGAAACCCAGCCTGTGCTCCCCTTACTAATCTGTGCATGCTGACGGGGACTCATGCCTGGAAGGAGCATCTTTTTCTAATCTGAACAAAGGTGCCAGAGAGGCCAGCAGTGGGCTGGTCCTGTGTGGCTTGGAGGACGAGGGTGGACCATTTTGTCCATTCTTCAACACTGCACCCCTCGCCTTCTGTGTGTGTCTCCACCCCTAGTTTGCCCACCCGCCTTCGGCTGAGCTGGAGGCCGTCGCCCTGGCTACCCTGCATGACCGGATGACGGAGCAGCACTTCCCCTGTCCCATCCAGAGCTTCTCCCTGGGGTGCACCCCAGCACCCCTCAGTGGCCCAATTGACATACTGGCCGAGGGCCGGTCTGCCCTGGAGAAAGCCAACCAGGAGCTAGGTGAGCAGGGGTCCCTGGAGGAAGGCCCAGGCCAGGCTAGTAGGGGTGCTGAGTCCCACAGTCAGCTCTTCTGGTGGTTGTCTCCTAGGTCTGGCCCTAGACTCCTGGGACCTGGATTTCTACACCAAGCGCTTCCAGGAGCTGCAGCGGAACCCCAGCACTGTGGAGGCCTTCGACTTGGCTCAGTCCAATAGGTGGGGAGGAATGGGGACATTCTGATGTCTGAGCCCGTGGAGGTTGGAAGGGAAGACCGCAGGGACTCTGCATGGCTCTCTCTTGACCTAGAGGCCTCCCTGAGTCTGTCTGAGTACCTGGGTTCCCCATCCATCCAGTAGTCTGCATTCACATCTTGGTTTTATCTTCACACTGGATCTGTACCATCCACAATGACAGACTGTTGGAAGCTTATGGCTTCTGGAATCTATTTTGACCTGTGGCCATAACTCTGCCGTTTATGCTGATGAGAAGACATGGCAAGGCCTGAGAAATGACCCATGTTTCCACCCTGCCTTTCCCTCCCCACGTCACCCCCTGCAGTGAGCACAGCCGACACTGGTTCTTCAAGGGCCGACTCCACGTGGATGGGCAGGAACTGGCACACTCGCTGTTTGAGTCCATCATGAGCACCCAGGCATCCTCGCACCCCAACAACGTCCTCAAGTTCTGTGACAACAGCAGGTAGGCTGTGCCCTCAGCTGGGGTGACCTCAGAACCCAGGGAATGGGAGGCCCCAGGCTCTGGTGGGGTAAGTGCAGATGCCGGGAAGGAAGTGAGACTCAGAACGGATGTGTCCACAGTGCAATCCAGGGGAAGGAAGTCCAATTCCTGCGTCCCGAGGACCCCTCACGGCCAAGCTGCTTCCGGCAACGTCAGGGGCTGAGACATGTTGTCTTCACGGCAGAGACCCACAACTTCCCCACGGGTGAGATGAGTCCCCAGGAGGGATAGGCAGGGTCAGAGTATGGGGTAGGGCAAAGGTCCCAGGCCCACCTGGGGACCAGCAGGTTGGCTGCATGTCCTTATTTTCAGTGGGGTGGTCAGAGGTGGAGTTTGCCTTTTCAGTACCCATACCCTCCCTCTCTTTGCACAGGAGTAGCCCCCTTCAGCGGTGCGACCACTGGCACAGGGGGCCGGATCCGAGATGTCCAGTGCACAGGCCGCGGGGCCCACGTGGTGGCTGGCACTGCTGGCTATTGCTTTGGAAACCTGCACATCCCAGGTCCCGTCTCTTTCCTCTCCACCCATCTCCCCTTCCAGATCCCTTGTCCTGGCAGGCACTGGACACTTATCTCTTAAGTCAAAGGGTCATCATGGGTACCTTTTCTTGGGAGGGAGGGCTCTAGAATAGCTGGCCTTTTGCCAGCCATGGTTGTGAGGACAGTAGGCCAAGGAAGACCCAGATCTGGCTTTGCAGAACCACAATTTTCTTTATAAACCAGTATCTATTTAGCCAAAAAGAATTGTTGTACTGGGTTGGACTTATGGCCATCAACTGCCCCCCAAATCCAACTTTTTTGTTTTGTTTTGTTTTGTTTTGATGTGGACTATTTTTAAAGTCTCTGTTGAATTTGTTTATTGCTTCTGCTTTTATGCTTTGGTTTTCTGACTGCGAGGCACGCGGGATCCTAGCTCCCCGACCAGGGATTGAACCCACACCTGCCCACCCCACCCCACCCCACCCTGAACTGGAAGGGGAAGTCTTAACCACTGGACAGCCAGGGAAGTCCCCAAATCCAATTTCTTGGCAAGTGTTAAGAACTCTGATCCCAAGAGTCAGACTCTTCCTGAAGGGCCGTGACTCCTCCATCTTCCATCTTTACAGTCCACCCATCTTTCTGCTTCCTGCCCAGGTTACAGTATGCCCTGGGAGGATCCAAGCTTCCAGTACCCTGGGAACTTGGCCCGACCCCTGGAGATTGCCATCGAGGCCAGTAGTGGGGCTTCTGACTACGGCAACAAGTTTGGAGAACCAGTTCTGGCTGGTGAGGCTTGCGGGGGCGTGGGGGGAACAGTCCCAGAGGCGGGGTGGGGTGCGGTGTGTGACCCAGTGAGCGCTGAGGAGCCTGGCTGACTAGACCCTGTCCCCTGTCCCTGCGCCGTCCACGCTCCAGGCTTTGCCCGTTCCTTGGGCCTCCAGCTCCCAGATGGCCAGCGGCGTGAGTGGATCAAGCCCATCATGTTTAGTGGAGGCATTGGGTCCGTGGAAGCTGAGCATGTGAGCAAGGAGCCCCCAGAGCCAGGTAAGATCCCGCCACCTCTCCACCAGGTCCAGCCAGCTTTCTCCCCAGTACGTGGCAGCCGCAGGAGTGGAATTTAGAGGAACTTCAGTGGTTTGTTCTTTGTCTCCCAGCTCATGTCTCCTCTCCCCAGTACAGGCTTTCACGGCAGGGCAGGGCTTTATGCCAGTGGGGCAGAGGCTCAGTCTGTGTGGCCTCTGTTTCTTCCCGGGATGACTTCTGCGTGGCAGGGGCCCACCCTGCTAAGTCAAGGCAGCCAGTGTTTATCCAGGGCCTGTTTTTATCTGCAAGCTCAGTTCAATCGGGCGACATTTACTGAGCGCCCCTCGGGTGCTGGGCACCATGCTAGGACCTGTGGTGGAATCAAGATAAAGGCCAGGTACCATTTATTGAATGGGTGACCCGTCACATGGCTCAGAATTTAAAAAGCAAAGAAAGGTTATGCAGTGGAAACTCTCCTTCCCCTGACCTTCAGCCACCCAGTTTCCCTCCCTAGAGATAACCAATGTTAATTGGTTACTTTTGTACCCTGCCAGAGGTTTTTCCTGCATACATAAACAGACCCATGTGTATATTTGCCACCCCTTGTTTAAACAAATAGCATGTGTGCACACCTTTCTTTTCTTTTTGGCCTCGCTGAGCAGCTTATGGGATTTTAGTTCCCCGACGAGGGATCGAACCCGGGGCCCCAGCAGTGAGAGCGCTGAGTCCTAACCACTGGACCGCCAGGGAATTCCCCGCCCATTTTTTCAATAACCATTTTATTAAGATATAATTCATGTAACATAAAGTTTACCCTTGTAAAGTGTACAAGTCAGTGGTTTTAGTATATTCACAAAGTTGTGCATCAGTCACCACTAATTCCAGAACATTTTCATCATCCCAGAAAGAAACCCTGCACCCGTGAGCAGTCACTCCCCATGCCCCCTTCCTTGGCCTCTGGAAACCAATAATCTACTTTCTGGCTCGATGAATTTCCCTGTTATAAATGCTGTGTTTGGCTGCTTTCCCTCTGCGTGATGTCTTCAAGGCTCATCCACATTATAGTATGTATCGGTACTTCATTCCTTTTCATGGCTGAATAATATTCCATCATGTTGCTATATCATCTTGTCTCTCGGTTGGTAGACATTTGGGTTGTTTCTGCTTTTCGGCTATTATGAATCACGCTGCTATAAACATTTTATTTATTTATTTATTTTTGCCTGCGCTGGGTCTTCGTTGCTGCGCGCGGGCTTTCTCTAGTTGTGGCGAGCGGGGGCTACTCTTTGGTGTGGTGCGTGGGCTTCTCATCACAGTGGCTTCTCTTGTTGCTGAGCACGGGCTCTAAGCGCATGGGCTTCAGTAGTTGTGGCTCGCTGGCTCTAGAGACCAGGTTCAGTAGTTGCAGTGCACGGGCTTGGTTGCTCCGAGGCATGTGGGATCTTCCCGGACCAGGGCCCCTGCATTGGCAGGCGGATTCTTAACCACTGCGCCACCAGGGAAGCCCTGCTATAAACGTTTGTGTACAAGTTTTCCTATGTACTTATGTTCTGAATTCTCTTGGGTAGGTAACTAGGAGTGGACTTGCTAGGTCACGTGATAACTGTACTCAGTCTTTGAAGCAGCTGCACCATTTTACATTCCCCTCAGCAGTGTGTGAAGGTTCCGATTTCTCCAGATCCTTGCCAGCTCTTATCTGCCTCTTTGATTATAGCCGTCACAATGGATGTGAAGCATCTCATGGCGGTTTGGGTTTGCATTTCCCTAATGACTTAGGATGTTAAGCATCTTTTCCTGTTTCTTGGCTATCTGTATACCTTCCTTGGAGAAATATCTATTCATGTCCTTGGCCAATTTTAAATTGGGTTGTCTTTGTTTTTTTTGGAGTTTAAGTTAGAGTTCTTTGCATATTCTGGATACTAGCCCCTTATCTGATAGGTAAATGATTTGCAAATATTTTCTTCCCTTCTGTGGATTGTTTTTTTACTTTCTTCATGGTGTCCCCTGAAGCACAAATGTTTTTAATTTTGGTAAAGTATAATTTATCTATATATTTTTTCTTTGTGGCTTCTGGCTTATAGTGTCATGACTAAGAAACCACTGCCTAAGCCAAGGTCACCAAGATTGACTCATATTCTCTTGTAATACTTTTATAGCTTTTAGCTTTTACATTTAGGTCTCTGATACATTTTGAATTTTTTGTATATGGTATGAAGTAGGGATCCAGCTTCCTTCTTTCACACGTGGATATCCAGTTGTTCTAACAAATACTTTTTGAAAAAAACTGTTCTTACCCCCATTGAATTGTCTTGGGACTCTTGCCAAAAATCAGTTGGCTATAAATGTTTCGGCTCATTTATGGACTCACAGTTCTATTCCAATGACCTATCTATCGACCTGTCTCCTTCTGCTAGTAACTGTCTTGATTACTGTAGCTTTGCAGTAAGTTTAAAAGCAGAAAGTATGAGTCCTTCAATTTTGTTCTTCTTTTTCAAGATTGTTTTGGCTTTGTTCTAGGTCCCTCAAATTTCCATATAAATTTTAGGATCAGCCGGTCAGTTTCTCTGAAAAAGGTGGCTGATTGTGTTGACTCTGCAGTTCGCTTTGGGGAGTATTGCCATTGTAACGATATTAAGTCTTCCG